CCAATCGTCCTTGTTCTCAAGACTTTATCTTTCTTTAACTTTAATCAAATTTAACCAAAATTGCAGCAATTCAATACGAAAGCAACCACAATTAACCTAAAAAACAGTCATAACACCCAAATCAAAGCGCAAAATTTGTAAATTCAAACCTAATTACATAGTAAAACCTACTAACCATTTTTTTCTGCTCTTTAAATTACGAAACCACACACCCTCAAATACCCTGCAATTCCAACCAAAAAAAGATTAAAACTTTACATAAATCAACAAAATTAAATCACCGGAATAATTTAAACAATGTAAGAAGCTATCAAAATTCAAACTTAATCAAAATTAGGTTTAGTACAGAATTCAATCAATCCATCATAAACCAAAATCCAAACAATTATAAATTATTCGTACCGATCGAGGGAAATTAAGTACGAATACATTGCAAAATTAAAATTTTAAACAAATGAATTCAATCAAAAGAAAATAAAATTAGAATTGAAAATTAAAGCAAGAAGTAAAGGGTACCTGAGTAAGGAGAGAGAAAATAGAGTAGAAGTGTAACGCTAGAGATTCCCAAATTTAGAAAGAAAAAAAAAAAAAAAAAAAAAAAAACAAGAGGAGAGAGAGAGAGAGAGGTGGAGGAATATAGAGAATTGTGAAATTGGCTGAATTGCAGTTGGATTTGGAAAGATGAATCGACGATCACCTCTCCAATTGGACTTCTTAGTTTTCACGCTTCTTTATTTTTTTCGGGTTTTGTTAAGTCCGTGTGTTGTCCGAGTTGACTAGTTGAGTACGGAGTAATATTCGTGTTATATTAAGTTTAGGTCTTAGCTTGTTGAATGAAAATATTATGGTAATTTTTTAATTTTTTTTGACAATAAATTATTATAATAAATTTTATTTTCACTTATTTTAGGAAATTTGATTTCATATGGATGTTAATAAGGATTAAGGTATTGTTTACTTTTCCCTTCAAAAAATAAAAAAAAAGTATTGTTTACTTTTCTTGAACATCAAGTATGTTATCTTATTTGTCTTAAAATTTATTTTATTTGAGCTTACTCAAAAGTATTAGCCTTTTCTTACTTAATGTGGACATATATTACCCCTAAAGTAAATGAAAATAAGGTAAGGATAACAAAGTTTAATAAATTTTGATAAAGATTGATAAAATTTGTTAAACTTCAATAAAACTAAATAAATTGTGACAAAATTTAATAAGCTCAAATTAGAGTAAAAATTCTTTGTATAGATCAAGAGATTGTTGTGCTTTACCCAAACATGTCTCATCTCGCTTTCTCAAATGTCAAACAAATGAACGTTTCATCTCTTACAAATAAGACTCTTATTATTTAATGGTCACATTATTGTATGTAATGGTTCTTTAGACACATTATTCAATCACATCTAAATAACAATAATCTTGTATCATTGAAAAAAGAAATTATGGTTAAAATTCTAATTAACTAGATGTTTAATTTTACCATAGTGTCTTTGTTAAAAACTTAAAATAATGAACCCACTTTAGTATAATTGTTATCTTAGGTGTGTTTGTAGCATAAGTTAATTTTAAATTACATGTACAAAGTATTAATGAATTGATTGTTTTAAGTAAGGCTCCCTTATGAACAAGTTTTCCCTACTTTGACCAGATAGATCAACATTATCATCCTTAAGTCTACTTTCAAGAGCTAAATAGTGTTAATAAAGAAAAAAAAAAAAAAACTTTTTGTAAAGAATAAAGATCACTTGGCAGTTGGCATCTCCCTATTTTGCAATGCAATGACTTTTTCATGTCATATAAGTATATAACCACATCCAAAACAACCCATATTTATGCCAAATACGATCACATGTGTCAAAATTATATGCAAAATCTTAGCATTTAGTATGATTTTTTTTTACACTTTAAAGAGTTTAAACCATTACCTTACAAAATAGGACTCACTTGTTGAATTTGTGATCCACACACCAACTGTTGGTAAAAAGAAACACCCTATTAAATCAACACCTCTCACATCAATAAGTCCAATTACACTGGTTAATTCTTGAGATTAAAGGAAAAAAATAAGAAAACCTTAATAAGATGTAGATGGTTAGACTTGATCTAACCACTTTAAAATCACAAGGTGAGTTATACACCATTTTCTTCTTGTTTTAAGATATACAAGTATGCATTAATAGTAGTTAAGAACATTTTGGATCAAAATAGATGATTCAGATTATAAAGTAACTTGAAAGTACAACTAAAAATCTAAAATGTTGATATTTTGAATATGTGTGAATTTTATACTTTGTATTATTTTTTTATGTTTATTTTTTTTCCAATTTTATGCCAAAAAAATTCTTGCAACTTTACTTGTTTATAATTGTCGACACGAAATTGCTAGCATCCGATTCTTTTGGGCTACTTTACTACATGGACCATGGGGTAGCACCTACTTGGGCCATCTTATCTTTGGGCCATTAGAAAGGCATCTATGAGTCACAACTCACAAGATTACTCAAACTTTATCATAGTCCATCTCTGTGATAGCAAAATAATGTCTAGATGCAGTAGTCCACAAGTAAACAGAACCAATGCTTCTGGTCAAAACCACCTACATTTATAATATTCTCTTCGTTTCTTAATGTTGCCGAAAAGAATTAATTGATTGTAGAGGTGATACAAGTGGAAAATACCAAAAACGATACGAAACAAACTCAAATGGATAACACAATATGGCAAATTTTAAGTAAAAAAGGAAGTATATACAGGGTAACCATATTATAAAATGTTGACAGTATAGCAAATATGTCACTCACTACTAGTCTTATATTCATATAATACTTTGTATAAAATTTACAAACATTATCGATACAAAAATTTAAAACCTTTCAAATATACAAAGTGAGGATAAATTGGTGAAGTAGTGGCATCGCTTCCACCTCATATCCTTGAGGTCTAGGGGTCAAATTTTATAGGACTCATTTGAGATATTTCCCTTATCTCCCTTCTCAAGCGAGCACCGAGTACTTCATACTTCGTATTCTTATTTGCTAGTCATTTGATTTTATGGCTTCTTAAGATTTATTTAGATAAATTTTAAATGCTTTAGTCTTTTTCAGAATTTCTAGTTATTTCTTTTCTATTTCCATAAATATTCAAATGTTTACTTTTACATACATATACCCTTGACCTAGAATATAAAATGAATACCATTACCTACACCCATATGTCACAAATGCTAGATGCATGGATGAAATTAATTGCACGTGACGAGGGAAACCAAACTCTCTTCTTCAACGTGGCTACAAACATGTGCAACTAGTGTTCTACTTGGGTCTATCGTTCATCCCTATACCAATATAATACCCGCATAGATGGGAAACGTGATATACATATATGACAATGATAATTTTATTGTATAAGTACATTTTCTTGGCAGCCTGGAAGCGAAAATTTATGTATTTTAGTAAGCGCGGTTTGCACAACCAATGCTTGGATTATGCACGGTGCACCCGAGTCACAACTATTACTAGGTCTTTAGACATTTGTGTTATGTTTAGCAACCAATGGATTATGCACCCGATGACCCGAGTCACAAATATTACTAGGTCTTTAGACATTTGTATTATGTTTAGCCTCACTTGTAGTATGATCAAAACATAAGTAGCTAGATTAATTAGAGGCTATTGGGCATCATATGCAAGTGCAAGTGATCAAGAATCGATAATCTTATGCTGCTGTCAAACGAATACAGCTAACTCAAGCAGGTGCAGTGTAATTTACTCTTTTCAGTCTCTGCCACATCTGGCTGTCCAGGATCAATTCTGCATTCCAAAAGGAGCAATAGCATGACCTGAAAAATCTCAGAATTTGCCATACCAAAAAATTCGACGGTTTCTCACGTCACAAGTCTCAGCAAAAGAGGGCATCCCTTGCTAAAGATCGAGCACAAATTGTAGAATGTGGGCACAACAGGAAGCAATTGTAGAATTTGTGGGCACAACAGGAAGCAACTATGTCTGCTACCAAGTAAATGAGATCGAAATCCGCCTATGCGCCTACCAAGAATGGCATATGCAGCAGAAATATCAACTTGCATTTCCTTTAACAAGAATAAACAAGCTCAGCAACTAGTGGGCATCTTGCCATCTTCTCTAGGCAGACTGATAAGAGCTAAATTATACCACAAAATAAGAGTATCCCAATCAATCATCTTATTCGTAACCCCACCCTATATGCTTGCACATGTCATAGTCCAACTTGACATTTTCCTTCGATGTTCACCAAGTTATATTCACAACATTCTAGCATCTTCTACGATATACTAGTAAGCCTGTAAGAGGGTACCACACCAGCACTTGGCTTCCTACAAGCACCATGCATTTTGTTAGCGTGTACTTGCACCAGTATTCCAAATCCAATAACCTCAAGCCGACTACTTCGTGGTCAAGAAAACACAAGCACAGAACGCCTTTATGAGCCAAAAAAAACACTTCGTATGACTGTGACAGTTTTAGACAAAGTCTTGATGTACACAGCTTATGCGTAAAATATGTTACGATAATCAAAAAAGACAGCTAACTAGGTTCCCGGAATCACACATTCGCTTTCGCCACATTCAATCTCCAGCAAAATTAACGGGCATATAATTAGTACCATACCAGTCAATTACGGCAAGCAAACTATATGACCTTTCAAAACTTCAAACTACTATTGCTAAATTTGCTATACTAACCCCACCAGCCACAAGAACATATAGATCACATTATCACAAAATCTATATACCATTATACGCCAACAATCCATTACTCAAAAGCGTCGTAAAGTGCAAGTGCAAAGACCGAACCAAGGCCCTACACAAGATCAACAATGAATATTACAAGATTTCATAATCTGTCAAAAGAACAGCCATTCAATTGTAGCAAAGAATTAACCACGAATTTGAACTACAACCAATTAAACACGAGATAGAATGTAGATTAGGACTATTTCACCTAAAATCGGTGAACAAAAGAGGTAAAAGAGCAATCATTCAATCTGAACTAAAATAGTTTTCGCCTTGAAATGGTGAATAAAAAAGGTCTAATAACAATGACATGACAGGAGAAAGAACGCGAAGAACACCGGATTTTAACAAACATTAATCCGGGGAAATTCACATTTCCCTTGCCTCCTACAAAATGTAACTCTATAGTCCTGATCCTTACACTTTGCCTATGTCATGCAAATGGAAATTACTAGATTAAAATGAAAAAGAAACTCTAATTGAAAAAACAGACTACGGCGACTTCTGATGACGAACTAACGACCATTCATGGTCAGCATTATTGGGGATGTTGTTATTTCTAAAGATAGCATACAGCTCTCAAGCACAGACATAAGGCCACTGCTCATCCTCGCCTTTAGCAACCTCAACAGCATTGCCGTTACAGCTATCCTCCGCACCACAGAAGTAAGGATGATGATACCCATTGACATTGTTTTTATTGCCGTTGATAAAGCCACAAGACGAAGCAATAGGCCCTGCCACAAGATACGGCATATTGTTGAAGGAACGGGCAAGCCCGTTAGCAAGGGTAGCAGTGTCATCCTCATTGTTGTGGAGGCACTCCTCAGCCCTATGCTTGAGAGTCTGGAACATGAGCTCGGGCTCGTGCTGCATCACCCGGAGGACATCACCACAAGACGGTCCTGGAACAGCTCGCGTCACTGCGAAGCTGTGAGGGCCATCACTCTGCATAACCCGAACAACGCTCGGGCCTCCAAACAAGTTGTGGACTCCCCCTAGTGCCTCCTCATAAGCCCCGCCCAAAAACATCCCTAGATAATACCCATCACCACCACCACAATTGCCACTCTCTCTGAGTTCATGAAGAGGCAAACTCGATTCGCCGCCGATAAACTTATCAATCTTACCATCACTATCACAGGTTAAATCAGATAAAATCCCTCTAACCCCAGGTCTTTGATCAAGCTTATGAATTGGTGTTACAGGAAACAACTGCCCTATTCCCCAGAAATCAGGAATTGAAGTAAAAACTGACAGATTAACATGGAAAGTGCTCACCGAGTCACTCACACCGAGCGCGCTCGATACCATCTCACATAGCCCGTCGACTGCAGCAAGCTGCTCCATTCCCAAGCACCCGTCTTTGAACTGCTCAATGCAACGCTGCTTCAACTGATCAGCATACAGCAAGCAAGCATCATAATCACCATTTGTTACTGAAGCAGAGATACTCCTGACATCTCCACGAGCGTCCTCCGGTAGCCCCTCGACTAAATAGTTCAGTTCCGAAGGCGACATTGCCGGTGGGGCGGCCGCAGCAGTGGAAGACACAGCCTCAAACACCAGAATTGAGTGGTGAGACACAATTGCCCTGCCACTCTCACTGCAGATAACAGGGTGTTTCACCCCTTTCCTGTCACAAACAACCTGAACAGCTCTAACAACAGAGGAGGCATACTCATCCAATGTGTAACCCACTGATATGTCTGATTCAGTCGATTTGGACCCGTCGTAATCGATCCCGAGGCCGCCACCGATGTCGATGACCCTCATACAAGCACCAAGACGGACCAATTCGCAGTAAACCTGAGCACCCTCAGCTACACCATCAGATAACAAAGTGGTTGATGGGATTTGAGACCCAATGTGAAAATGCAGGAGTTGAAGACAATCTAACATCCCAACTGCATCAAGCTTCCTGACAACCCGGAGAATCTGAACAGTAGTTAACCCGAATTTCCCCTTCTCACCGGAAGTCGAGCCGAAATGACCCGAATGCTTGGTCCTGAGCTTAGCACGGACCCCGATTACGGGTCGAATGCCAAGCACACGGCTCAAATCAATCACCAAATCAACCTCCTCTTCTTGCTCAAGCACAATGACAGTATTAATCGCAAGTTTCCTTGCAATAATCGCAAGAGAAATATACTCAGCGTCCTTAAACCCATTACAAACCAAGAAAGCATCAGGGTGTCCCTTACACAAGCAACTCATAGCAAGCAAGAGCTCCGGTTTCGACCCAGCTTCGAGCCCAAACCGAAACCCAGACCCGAATTTCACAATATCCTCCACCACAAACCGATCCTGATTACACTTCACAGGGTAAACACCCTGGTAATGAGACCCATATCCACTGGATTTAACGGCGAAATCGAAAGCGCATTGAAGCGATTCAAGCCGGTGTTTCAGAACATCAGGAAACCGAACAATGAGAGGGAATTGAAGACCCAACCCACCATTCGATTTCACATCAGAAACCTTCTTCACAACCTTCAAGAGATCAATTTCCTGGTGAGGCAACGTGGCGTCGCCAAATGGATTGACGGTAATATTCCCGGAACCGTTGACAGAGAAGTAAGGCGGACCCCATTTGTCAATCCGGTACAGCGCTGATGAATGAGACGGAGACCACTCAGTGGTCATGGCGGTGGCGGAGGTGTTCGTCGGAAAAGGTTCGCCGGAAAAGAAATCCGGCAGGGGAAGAGAGAGATGGTCGACGATGTCGTTGTTATTGGAAAAGGCGAAGCCAGGAGGACAACCAACACCGGAAACGACGGTGGGGGTGGCAGCAGAAGCGTCGATAATACACGCCGGCATCTTTATCTTCCCCTTCCGATCTGTTTTCTCTCTCCTACAAAAACTAATCTAAAAAAACTAAAATCAACAATTTGGTTATTTGGGTGGCGGTTTATTCCGGGGAGGAGAGAATATAAATAAGAGGGGAATTTTGAATCGTTTTGTACAACCCAAAGGTGTATCAATGGGGGCTTTAAAACCCGCCGAGGCCGAGGCCCCGGCTACCCCCTTCAAACGGAGCAGGAGATAGAGTAACCCAAAGTGAAACAACACCGAACACAGGTACCACACGCCCGTGTTCTACCCACAACGACTTCAGGAGAAGTTATATAACAACAACCACGACAAACACGAATTCGTAAATAGTTTCATGTAAATTGTTACAGATCTAGATTAAACTGACCATGCAGGAGCAATTGTTTATTGATGTTTATAGATCTGGGTTTCGGGGATTGAGGGTAACTCAAATGCTAGGGTTTGAATGCGGGGATTTATTTGGAGAATAAGAGGAAAAAAAGGAGAGAGAATCGGGATTATGTTGAATGAGGAAACGAAAGGAGAGAGTGGGCGAGAATTGCATGAAGGGTTCAAGGTTGCTTTTATAGGAGGTGTGAGGTTGGGGTTGAATTTGTTTTTTTTTTTTTTTTTCTTTAACAAAAGAAAAATTAATTATTTTGTTTGTTACGTGGAGAGCGATAATGTTTTGCTTTTTGTTAATTTCTCATTAATTCGGGCAATTCCTATAAATTCATATACTTCTATACTTCGTATGATGAGAGAATGTGAGATGTGACCTATGCTTTGTTTAACCATCTAGCTTATGTTGGAGATTAACAAAAATTGTACAAAATAAGAAAATTAAAACAGATTAAAATGACTTATTAGTTGGTTTTAAAAAAAAAGACCTATTAGTTATTTGTGACTCGTATAATTGAGAGTGTTTAAAAATTAGGCTAAATTAGTTTGCGGCTCATACAATTGAGAGTGTTTAAAAATCGGACAATATTAGGATGCAACAGTCTAGTCTTTGGATCATAATTTTTTTTATCTTAAGTAATTTCATATTGTGATTTGATCTAGGAGTAGAAGGATTCTTAGTTGTAAACTTATGCATATATAAACTATACCTAGACTAAATGATTAAAATTTGACTTGATCTAGATACAAATGACGCATTAATATATAGTTGGTTTATTTAAAAAGATGCACGTAAAAAAAAAATAAAGAACCTTAATCAAATTTGTATTTGTCCAGTTTTTTTATCCGACCTAATCACTTAATCAACTCCTTGTATGACTATTACAAAACCACTATTGCTAGTACCTCTCTAAAGTAACTTGGATGGTCCATTTATCACACATCTTAGTGGATGGGATAATTGTTGGGGATGATAAAGGAAGATAATAGGGAATTTTAGGATTCCATCCATGTATAATTTAGTCTTGCAAGTTTTATGCATGTGTCACAGCTTGATGTAAAAACCGATTATCCATAAGGGAATTCCACTATTTATAGTTCTTCTTTAAACTTTATTCACACAATTAAATTTTCCATAAAATTTCAAGTTAGTTTACTTTTGATTGAATGAAATTTAGTTCATTACGTACAATTAGAAAATAAAGTATGTGCTAATAAAAGATATAAAAAGAATAATTAAAAAATTGAAGATACAATAATACAATTTTCGCCTATGAATATAAGGATATTTTCAATTCTTTCTTCTGATACATTAGGAGTACCCCTCGTGAGAAGGGCATCCTAATGTTTTTTTTTATCTTACCTTAAAAAAAAATTATGTGAAAAGTACTTTGTATTATATATAATTAAATTATAACTAATAAATATATTGAAGAATTGAAAATGGTTATTAGAGCAAAATTTCATTAATGTACATGATAGCTTCTTGTAACTCCTTCAACAATGCTTTTGTCAAAAAAAAAAAAAAAAAAAAAAAAAAAAAAAAAAAAAAACTCCTTCAACAATAAATGCAAAGTGCTTATTAAAAACATTCATAGGAGAGTAGTTTATGAAGAAAGTGAGACACTTGAGTCCACTATGGACACTTTGGGATTTCATACCCTCCTTCATTCTCTCTATGAGTCTATGGCGTCTTGTCAATCAACATGGGCAAGGTTGGCCTAGTTATGTTTTTGAAAATAGTGGTGTCAATTTAAGATATTAATTATTGGTCGAGTATAGTTAGAACGGATTATTTCAAATTTGAATCACAATAAATCTTTATTTTCTTACAAACAGATAATTGGGTTAGATAGGATTGTTTTAAATCAAGTCCGTTTTTCACACATTAGTTATCTCTAGAGCTTTCAATTCGGGTAAATAAGTCAGGTTTGGGTCGGGTAAGTTTGGGTCGGGTAAGTGTGGGGCGGGTCAACTCGGATCGGGTCATTTCGAGTTAATGTCGTAACCTATACAGGTCGGGTTCGGGTTAGGTCATGCTTGAGTCGGGTAACGTCGGGTCATACATCTTATCGGGTTTGGGTCGGGTTTAGGTCGGGTTAATAACAGGTCGGATTACATTCGGGTCGGGTGAATAATAGGTCAGGTTTAATTCGGGTTAAAACGGGTTAGGGTCATTCTCGGGTTCGAGTCGGGTTCGGTTTAAGTCAATAATTTGCGGGTTATAATCAGGTCGGGTCATTCTCGGATTTGAGTCGGGTTGGTTCAAGTCAATAATTTGCGGGTTATAATCAGGTCGGGTCATTCTCGGGTTCAAGTCGGGTTCGGTTCAAGTCCATTATTTGTGGGTTACAATTAGGTCGGGTCATTTACAAGCGGGTCATGTTCAGGTTCAAGTCGGGTTTGATTCAAGTCAAAAAATTGCAAGTTATAATCAGGTCGGATCATTTCCAAGTCAGGTCATGTTCGGGTTCGGGTCTCAAATATTGGGTTAATCTGGGTATCGGGTTGATTTCAGGTCGGGTCATATCAGGTTCGGGTACATTTTTTGGGTCGGTTTGTTAACAGTTCATGTAATGACATTCACGTGTAATCATTATCAATTACTTCATTTATTGTAAGAGAAATAATTTCAGATAAGTTTAAATTCGAGGTAATAAGTTCTAATAAGATCTACATAATAAGTTCATATTAATTCCAATAAGATAGGTTTAGTTTAGATTTTTTGAAGATAAGTTCAAACCCTATTCTAATATATTCACATTGATTCCACTCATATTAGGGATAACAATTTCTGATAAGTTCATATTCGAGATGACATGTTTAGATAAAATACAATAAGTTCATATAAATTTGGATAAAATAGGTTTAATTAGATAAGTTAAATACAAAAATTTATTTTTCTAAACTTATTTTATTTGAAATTATCTAAACTTATTTATTTTTTATAAGTTCATATCTGAGTTCACTTTTTTTAAATGGCATTTATTTTAAAACATTTAAATGGCATTATTCAAAACATTTAAATAAGATTAAATAGGTAAATGAATAATAAAATTAGAAAAATAAAAGACCAATAAAAGCCTTTTAACAACCTTAGTTCGGGTCACCACTTTCTCGAGTCCAGACAAGTCAAGTCATGATCGGGTACAGGTAATAAATTTGGGTCAGATTATCATCGGGTCATTGTCATATACTCATGCTCGCATTCAATCATTATCCGAAATTATTATTTTTTTTTTAACTTTTTTTTATTTGAATTTTTTTTTATATAAAATATAAGATAAAACAAACAAGCCTAAGGTCAAATAGTATTTGTAAACCGTAATTGACTACATTAATGCACATGCACCTACAAAGTAGTAGTATTCGTAAACCACAATTGCTTAATTGAAATATAGAATAAACTTGCACCTAAAAAGTAGTAGTATTCGTAAATCGTAATTACTAAATTTAAATAAAGAATGCACATGCATCCAAAAAGTAATACATGCATTCATAAATTTTTTATAGGATTTTTTGAGACATATAAATTGTAATACATTTGATAATAGAGAATTTTATTGAATATATTTGAATAAGCTTAAATAGGAAAATAACTCATAGAATTAGGGAAAAAAAAATATGACGTAATCCCAGATTGCTAGTAAATTTCGGGTCAATAACAAGTCGGGTTGATTTCGGGTCGGGTTAGTAACAGATCGGGTTGAATTTCGGGTCGGGTTAGTTATAGGTCGGGTTAAATTCGGGTCGGGTTAGTAATAGGTCAGGTTAAATTCGGGTCGAGTTAGGAATAGGTCGGGTTGAATTCAGGTCGGGTTAAATTCGGGTTTGACCGGTTAAAACGGGTTTGGGTCATTTTCGGTTCAGGTCGGGTTCGGTTCAAGTCAATATTTTACGGGTTATATTCGGGTCAGGTCATTTTCAGGTCGGTTCATGTTCGGGTTCGGGTCTCAGATACTCGGGTTAACTCGGGTCTAGGGTTGGTTTCAGGTCGGGTCATATCGGGTTCGGGTTATCATTTTTTCGGGTTTAGACGGGTCAGTTAATAATCGGATTTGGGTCGATATTTCGGGTCGGGTCAACTTTTAACAGCTCTAGTTATCTCCAATAAAATATGGAGTCTTTTCTCTACAGTCTTACCTACAAACAAAGTAACAATAATTGTTAGCAATCAATACAAAAAATTCTAAAATAAACATAAACATAGGCATAAATATTAAAGAAGATTAAAAGGGAATGGTATAGAATGGGATTTGTTCCAAAAATGAAGCCTGAACTAGTTATGACCTTTATATTACACAACAATCATGGAGCCTCTTTCACTCTCGCATCTTCTACTCTCGTGAATCATGGTCCACTATACTAACTACTCCATAATTTCGATATAAAATTATAGCTACATTTTTCTTTCAAAGAACTTTCTTTATTATGTTTTTTCAATTGAATTGAACATACACTTGATATTTTTTTTAGTTATACCTCCCTTAGCCGTGATCTTTACTCGTAGCTTGTGACTTGGTTTGCGGTGATTATTCCAATGCCAACATTATTCATAACGTGTTACTTCCGCGTCAAATAAATTAGGAATGGGATACTTACATTGACTTGATGTGAAATGTGATGCAATCAACAATTTAGTACGCCGTATTACGTGTGAGCATATGCTAATTTTATGGTGGGGTGAGTTCTAATTCTAATTTTTGGTCATTGACCAATATTTTGTAAGGCATATTGATACTTAATTTGTACTCTTGGATATCATTATTGTTTTGTATTATGCGTTCTGTATTAAATTTGAAATCTTACGCAAATATATTTTATCGTTAATAAGTCTATATAACGTAAGCATTTGAAAACTACACATTAATAATAAGAAGTTTGTACTCCGTCCGTATGATATATATATATATATATATATATATATACTTCGTAAAATATATACTTTGGAATGTTAATCATGAAATAATTCCACAACTTTGATAAAAGACTTCAAAATAAAAGAACATTATTATGAGGGGATATTGCGGAGTATTGGCTATTGACAATTATGCTTAATATATATGCTTCACATGAGTTCAGGTACCCTCAACGAGATACATGATCATCCTAGACCGTTGTGAAGATAAGATTTATGCAAGATATGTCAACCGTATTACACTTAATTAATTACTCCTTGGAATTCCTAGTGTATCGCGTATATGAAGATTAGATTCATGACAAGCATTTTTAAAACTATTGTGAGATTATATCGATGAAGATTCTCCCTATCTCCTACGTTACTAGGGTTAAATGAGATAAAAGGCTGATTATTACTAACTGCCAAAACCCAAGACATCCCACTACTACTCTTTATCCCTCCCTTACTTAGCTCAAAG